TTACAGGGGATCTGGATGACCTCTTTCTTACAGGGGATCTGGATGGCCTCTTCCTGACGGGGGATCTTGACAGCCTTTTTCTGACGGGCCTCCTCCTATCAGGGGATCTTGATGGCCTCCTATCAGGGGATCTTGATGGCCTCCTATCAGGGGATCTTGATGGCCTCCTCCTATCAGGGGATCTTGATGGCCTCCTATCAGGGGATCTTGATGGCCTCCTATCAGGTGATCTTGATGGCCTCCTCCTATCAGGGGATCTTGATGGCCTCCTATCAGGGGATCTTGATGGCCTCCTATCAGGGGATCTTGATGGCCTCCTCCTATCAGGGGATCTTGATGGCCTCCTCCTATCAGGGGATCTTGATGGCCTCCTATCTAAAGAGACAACAAAAAAATACGTAGATGCTGCCATACATTAAGAGTTGGTGTTGGTGTAAACTTTCTGTATGCTAGTTAGATGTGGGATGGAATCTATTGAGACACAGTATTGTATCAATGTGTATAGATATAAGGAATGAGTTTAGGAAGCCATGTTGCTAGAGGTCATGTTGCTGTAATACTATTTTGTAATAATGTGATAATGATAGTAAAGATAATTAACACAGAATTGAATATGTGCAGATATCATGTACCATAAGAGAAGCTGTAAATTGATTATGTATATTAAGTTTTATTGACATACAGTGAATGTGACTGAAGTGACTCAAAAATTTATTTTAATTATGTTGTTGTTTTGACGTGGCAGTGACAATTATAGACTTAGCTAAGCTAACTATCTACCCTGTATCATTAACAATTGGATGAACGATTAAAATGAACAACTTAATTATCCAAGTATTAGATAATAAAAACTGAAAAGACCTTTTGATTATTCTAATTTTGATTGTAATTTTTTAATTAGAATATTTTATACACATATCGTAAGTGATTTGTACTATCATCCTGGATGTTCTCTTAACTGCTCAACGAAAATGCACAAACACCAAAGACAGAATAGATATGCTTATCATAAAAAATGCCACAAGCCCTATTTAATGGCAGGAAATTCCTTAATTAAATAAATTACTACACAAGGCGCACAATAAAACAATATTCGGTGCACAACTGGTGCAATACCCATTGTAGGTGATTGGTACCTTCATCCTGGAGGTTCTCTTAACTGCTCAACGAAAATGCAAGAAACACCAAAGACAGAATAGATTATCATAAAATATGCCACAAAAATGTCTCCTTCAGCCTCAAGTTCTTTCTGAAACCAATCAAAATGACATGACACACTATTTTTTTAAAGAAAAATTTATTTTCATTAAGAATTTTTTTTTCACAAAAAAGTATTAACGGGTACCAGCTTTTATGTTCAACGGGTAGCTGAGCTCGTTTCCTCCTAAGGAAATGTCAAAATAATTGTGGGAGAAGGAGAAAAGCCATCCTAAGGATGTGTCAAAATATTTGTGGGTTAAGGAGAAAACCCAATCAAAATGCATAATTCTAAATGTAACAATATCCATAACTTAATGCTAAGGTTCAGTAGCGTGTAAAATAAAATCCCTGCTAACTGCTAAATTTTCTTTAAAATATTGCAAGCGCATTCGGTGCATATTTCTTTTTGTTTTAAATTGTTAGTGTAATAAATCTACAGTGTAAAAGTGGGGGGGGGGGGGGGGTGGGGGGGACATTAATG